AAAAAAAAAGTGAATAAGGATAGAAAAATTTTACTTTTGTGTTCAGTTTATTTTCATCAAATTGTTTTAAATTAAATTTTAAATTTAATTTGTATTATTATAATATATATGAACAATTTGTTAATTTAATATTGTTTGAAATTTCTCTTATTAATATATTATACTAGATGTTATATGTTAAATTACATTATTTACTTAATTTGTTTTCTATTTTTATGAGAACCATCTGCTTTACTCTATTGTATTTAAAATATTGTGGAAAGTCTATTTTAATATATTCAATATGCCAATTAAGGTGCTTTGCTTCAATAAGATTCAAAAATTCTTCATACATTGGAGCAGTAGTTTCCATTTTAGTTGTAGTGAAAACATATCTTTTCTCCAAAGCAATATAAACAACTTTCTGTATATCCGAATTTAAAAGTTCTGCTAATGTTTGAACAAATCCTTTTGTTACAGCTTCGTCATAAATTACTATAAACATAAGAAATTACCAAACATGTTTTTATTTTAAAAATGTAAATTTATAACTTACCATCAGCGGCTAAAATAGCAGTTGCTTCATTTATTCTTTTTTTATAAAATGTAGACCATTTTAAATTTAGAAAATTTAATTCTTTAACATAAATTTTAGACTTAATGTAAGCTTTGTTTCGTATAAAATTTCTATGTATTAATTTTAATATTCCTTTTACATCAATGTCTAAAAAGTAAGAAATTCATTTTTATTAAATATATGTGAATAATATTTAGTATAATAATGTTGTACTATAAACTTTATTACCTGTACAAATTACTTCTGCTGCTGGAAAACTAGCAACTATGCTAGTTAAGCCAACTCCAGCACCTAATTCTAGAATTACTTTATTTTTGAATAAATCAGGATTGGATAAAATATAATCAGCCAGCAATAATGCACCTCGCCACACTTGCAATCCTACATGTTGTAATTCTGTAGATATATGGTGTTCTGAAATTGATATATAATTTATTAAGCAATTTTTTTCAATATCTGATTAATTCTATATATATAAATTTACCTATTAATAATTTTCCTTCTTGTTGCCTATTTATATCTATATCATCGTCATTATCATAAATCAGATCGTTAAAACATTTTGGTTTAATCATATAAGATGGATACTTAAAAATAAATTTGGATATTGCAGCTAGAAACATGTATCATAATCTTGTTACAATTATATAAAATTACCATGTAATAAATACACAACATAGCAGAAACTAGAAAGTAATGAACTTACTGTCATTTTTACATTTTATATAAGAATTTTCACTTTCTGTAAATATTTCTGATGTTACTGTATACAATGTCATATTTGTTAATAAAAGATTAATGTGTAAAAGTGATTTTAATTGTCAAATTTACAGTACCATATATCTATCATTGAATTTTTTAATAAAAAGAATGACATTAATACATATATGCAAATAATCTATAAGTAATACATTTATTAATAAATATATACATATATGTTGTTTTTTATTTAAATATTATCAAATAATTACTTTTTAGTTATATCTGTTTGTCTGAAATGTTGTGATTACATTTTTTATGACAAACACTATACTAATATAATATTTCACAATGAATGCATGGTTAAACTAAGATTTATTATCACAGACAAGTTATAATTATAATTGCGCTTATGTAATATGCTATTGCATATAAATGTACTTTCTATATCTGAAATACATATGTATTTTTTATTATTATGTATTACAGTTGACTTTTAGAAAATTTTCAAATATAATAAATTATGAAAATATATTGCAATGTAATGCTATACAAATAAATTAGATATCTCTCGTTAATTAAGCTTTTAAAAGATAAGAAGTTAAAAACAGATTAGGAAGTTCAATTTTACAATTGAACGGTACATAGAGAAATATTTTATCTGTTAAAGTTACGTGTACGTACAAAGGTTATAAAAAAAGCATTATAAATTTAATTTTTCTTTATTTAAATATTTTACTGAAAATAAATATATTGAAATGTTTATTCTTTTTATATATATGAAAATAATTAAATAATTAATTATGTGACAATATATGCGATTTTGGTTGTTACATACAATTTTAATTCAAATATAATTTTGAACGGAAATTAACATTTCAATATTTTTCAAATTTGAATAAACGCGTAACAACAACATATAAGAAACCATAAAAATTAAATTGAATTTTTGATTAAAAAATGTTTTCTCAAAATGTTCACATAAATTTAATTTGTGTGTACATTAATTTAATAAGTTCTTTAACAACGATAAAAGGGAAAGATACTCCACATACGTATATAGTATTATTCCGACAATTTTCGTAATAAAACTATATATTGAATGCTTAAAATATTCTTTATCAATTAGGGGCTACATATTTTTATGCAAATATGCATTCTTGGTTTCATAGGTTGCGTTTCTTGCTAGAAATGAAAACGGTGTCTGAGGCGACAGAAATACATAAATACACTGTTCATTTTCTTTTTTTACACTTAACATGAGACATTCATTCATGTACATAGAATGAATAAAAACGATTATGAATTTGTATTCACACCGAACTAAAATGCGAAGTATATATTCATATTTGCTGTAAAATGGTAAAACTCTATCAAAATAATATGATGTTCTAATCCTTGTATAGCAATCTTGCAGTTAACATCCTACCGGATTCTTGAATACCGCGTTGACCAATCAGCAGTTCCCACGATGATTGTGAGGCCACGCATTAACCACAATCTACCAACTGTATAGTTCTCTGCATCATTGTATTTGATCACTTTGTTCGTATTCTTCGGCGGACAGTGTCGGTGACTGTAATCTTGATATTGTAACGGTAGGATCGCTGCATTTCGCGTAAGGTCGACAGAGTTTTCATACGTGTCGCGGCGCAACTTTCCAAGGAGTAGAATCGCTTCAGTTCAAAGATGAAATTTTTTGCATTAACGTTCGCAGTAATTTGTTGCCTCACCTCCACTCTTGCAAAAATCGAGATTGAAGACTCGGTTTTAGTTCTTACGAAAGATAATATTGAAGAAGCTATCGAACAAAACGATTACGTGCTCGTTGAATTTTGTGAGTACCTGTTAATTTTCTTTGAATGGATCTTTTAATTATAACTAAGGTCTGAATGCAGTATTTATTTGGCTTGCCACCCTCGTGCGTTTCAATCGTGATTAAAGCTGATCCAGATGCTTGCCTTTTACACGTCATCAATTTAGATGCCGGTTCTTGAGATTGATTGCACTTGTTGATACGATTTCACTTCAATGTTTTACAATATCCGATAGAAATTTCGTATATTGCAAATGAATTTTAAACTTTGATTTTATACTATGCATAAATATTTTTAGAATTATATTTGCAATTTTATAGTACACGTTTATTACACATGTTTACTTTACCATATTTGAACAGAAACAACATATCGACTATAAAAAATGAAAATTTTTTTTAATATTTAGACATGTTGTTTTAGATTTTTCATTATAATTCCATAGTATACTGTAGTGATTATTTTTATAAAATATACTTAATCACATAATTTATCATTACAGAGACATATTTTATTCGTGTCAATAATTTTAACATTTAGATGCACCATGGTGTGGACATTGTAAAGCTTTAGCTCCCGAGTATGCTAAAGCAGCCAAAAAATTAGAGGAGAGTGGTTTCCCTGTGAAATTAGCCAAAGTTGATGCAACTGTTGAAACGGAATTAGCGGAAAAGCATGGAGTTCGTGGATATCCTACTCTTAAATTCTACCGTAAAGGATCAGCTATTGATTATGGCGGTGGTCGTCAAGCAGATGATATTGTAAACTGGGTAATCAAAAAGACTGGTCCAGCAGCTAAAGTTTTGACAACCGTTGAAGAAGCTAAGTCATTTATCGAAGCACAAAATGTTGCCATTGTTGGATTCTTTAAGGTATCATTATGTTACTTACTCTTCTTTAGTTAAAATGTATCTGCTAGAATTTTATTTTTTTTTTATTATTGATATTATAAAACTTTAAAAAACAAAATGTACATACATATTTAATTATACCAATTAGGATGCGGAATCAGATGGTGCAAAAGTATTTTTAGAAGTTGGTAATGCTTTAAATGATAATCATGTATTTGGTATAAGTAGCAACGATGAAGTTTTCAATGAATATGGAACAAGTGATGGTAAAGTTATTTTGTTTAAAAAGGTACATGAATTTTAATTTATTATAATTTTTGATAAATGTGTTAGTAATGTCCTCCATTTCACTTAATATTTATTGTAGTTTGATGAAGGCAAAAATGAATTTAATGACGAACTTGATGTGAAAAAATTGCAAAAATTTATCTCTGTACATGCACTGCCATTAGTTGTTGATTTCAATCATGATACTGCACAAAAAATATTTAGTGGTGATATTAAGAGTCACCTGCTTGTCTTCCTTAGTAAAGAAGCTGGTCACTTTGAAGAATATGTAGAGAAAATTAAAGAACCAGCAAAGAAATTCCGTGAAGAGGTATGTAAAAATATAGATAATGTAGATACGAAGTAACTATATATATATATTTATATATTTTATTGTTTTGTACAGGTTTTATTTGTAACAAAAATATAACTATAATATTTTATTGTTTTATACAGGTTTTGTTTGTAACAATTAATGTTGATGAATCTGATCATGAACGTATTCTAGAATTCTTTGGTATGAAGAAATCTGATGCACCTGCTATGCGTATTATAGAACTTGAACAGGATATGGCTAAATATAAACCAGAAAATCCAGAATTATCTAGTGAAAACGTTTTGGAATTTGTAACTGCATTTACCGAAGGCAAATTGAAAAGACATTTGTTTACACAGGATTTACCCGAAGACTGGGATAAGAATCCTGTGAAAGTTCTTGTTGGTGCTAACTTCCATGAAGTTGCATATGATAAAAAGAAAAACGTTTTAGTTGAATTTTATGCTCCATGGTGTGGACATTGTCAAAAATTAGCACCTATATATGAAGCAGTATGTTTCTTTTATCTTTTCTTTATTTTCCATTTTTGCAATGTTAGAAACTTTAAAGAAATATTTATATATAATGTGATATATTTTCAGCTTGGAGAAAAATATAAAGACCGTGAAGATTTAGTTATAGCTAAAATGGATGCTACTGCAAATGAATTAGAAGATGTAAAAATTATTAATTATCCCACAATTACTCTCTATAAGAAAGAAACAAATGAAGTAAGGATTTTACATGTATTAAAACTTTGACACTTATTCAATAACATATAAATTTATTTTAAATCAAATAAATTTTAGGCTGTAGAATACAATGATGACAGGACACTTGAAGGACTTTCTAAGTTCATTGAATCTGATGGTGCTTATGGTCAAGCTGCAGAAGAAGTTCGTAAAAACTTTTAATTGATAATAATTATATTGTAACAATATAACTTATTTTATATTATCTTTACAGGCTCAGGAAGAAGATGAAGATGATGATGTGCCAAGAAAAGATGAATTATAGATATTATGTCATCAAATTCAATAATTTCTCATATCGTTTATAAATTTTGTAATTCTGCTTAAATGATATTAATTTATAGAAGACTTCTTAATCATTCGTTTCTACTTAGATTTATGAATCAAATTGTACGATTAAAATTTATTTATAGTTTTATATAGGTTTATATATATATATGTGTGTGTGTATGTATATAAACATATATATCTATGATTGGCATATTTCGGTTGCAATATACACTTCATATGACTGAGTTTTTATGTGATAAATTGCACATGGAGCTAAAGCAATTTATTATATATATTTTAGAATTAAAATGTATTCTATCTGAATGTCTGATATGAAAATGACTTGTATATCAAAACAATCTTCACAAATAGGGCAAATGCGTCAGTCGTATCGTTTTTACATTTTTTTGAAACTTTGCCCTCTAAGAATTATAATGTTTAGATACAATACCTTTATCTCGTGATGTTGATGTATAAAGGGAAGTGTAACTCATGAAAAATCATTAAGCTAAGGTTTCTGCAAAATCGTAAATCGTATTTTATTTTTATAAAAAAACTTTGTTTTTTATTAAGTAAATACACATACGTGCTCGTACAATAAACACACTTTAAAAAATATATTTAATATAGTAGGATAGTTATTTTAAAAGATCATATTAAAATTTATCGTTGAGAAATACATTTCCATTTATGGCATTTATAAAACTATAACGGTTTTAGGAACATTTAATAAAATAGAAACGATTTTAATATTTTTTTTTTAATTTAGTTAAGTAAAAGTTTTATAAAATGAATTATATAAAAATATATATATATAAATATATATATTTACTTTTATCTTATTTCCATAAATAAATAAATCCAATAAATCGTTACTTAAATCGTTTACTTAATAATATGTTAAAGAAGATGGCACATGTATTAGAAAGAATTGTGAAATATATCATAAATATATTGTATTTACATAATATTTTAATGCATAACAGAGACAGTTAACACTTTGAGCGATAACACTTTGATTATTTTTATATATCTTTTCTATATTGTTCTATACTATTTTACTCTAATTTTTTTATGTTATTAAATTCTTATTCCCTGATTTTTATGTTTGTTTGTTAGAAACAGCAAGATTTGAAAATAACAATGGAAGATTCATTTAATTTTTCAAAACTAACTAACTTTTTACATCAGACCTTGGTATTTACAGAAGAAGCAAAGAATGTATTAAAATCAAATTGTGATGAAGCAATGTATTGTTTAAAACCATTGTATACAGAAATCTATCCTCAACAGGAAGTTAATAAAGATGTTTGTACATGTGTCAAAGTAAGGCCATTATGATATAACTATTTTACATAATTTTTTGCATCAAAATTATATTAATTACTTTTTTCTATTTAAAAGACCAAAACCGAAGTTGAAGAAATTGCTGCAGGTATTAGCAGAGCATTAATACAAACACAGCAATTACGAGAAAAATTATCTTCCAATGTAACGGAAAGAAGTCCAAAATACTACAATATGTATGAATATTCCCAAGCAACTGGTAAATATTTAAAGAAATTTTTAAAATTAATTAAAAAAGTAATATCTTTAATAATCTTGTCTAGTTATTACATGCGTCCTTAATTGTAGGAAGTAAAACACAGAAAAATGTAAAAAATTTAAATCTAAACAATAAAAATATATATTTGAAACAAAACCTTTATTGTATAAAATCAAACATTCAGAAGACAAATATTGATAAAGGACAAAGTGAGATAGCACAAAGAGATCAACTTAAAAAAACAAAAAATAATAAACAATTAGTAACACACCCAAAATTATCAGGAAGCAAGAACTTTCTTGCAATAAATAAAAGGAATATTAAAAATATAAAGGAAGTTAAAGACAAATTGAGAAATAATGTTAAATCTAATACTTCCATAACAAAGGTAATTCATCTATTTGTATCGATCCATTTTTAAAAGTAATTTTTATTAACTCATCATTTATTTATACAAAAACTCGTATTTATATATAAATATGGTATAAATATGGTATATATTTAATATGGTATAAATATGGTATATATTTAAATATGGTATAAATATGGTATATATTTAATACCAAATACTTGAATATAAAATATGAATAAATTTCATTATTATAATATATGTATAATATATATATAATATATGATATTATTATAGTTTACATATGATATAATCTATAAACATCAATTCTTTTATTATATGAATATCTTGAAATTTAATTATTGTATATTTAATTAGTTATTGTTTAATATAATTTTGCTTTTATGCAGTCAAAATGTATTAAATTTGACGAAAGAAATTCTGCAGCATCAACAAGTGAATTAAAAAATTTAATACAAAAAATGACAGTTACATCTGGTGATTGTACACTTTCTAATGAATATAATATCAAATGTCCACTACATGAAAATAAAATTTCACAATATACCTGTGAGCAGAATTTGACAGTTAAGACTTTCGTAGATTGTTTAAATACAACAGATATTCCAGAAGAAATAATCAAGTCATTAAAAGTTTACCATAAATTTTTGAATATTAAATATACAGAAAAATCATTCAGTGAAAAACAACAAAAAGAATTACATACGTTTTTGGTAGAATTTAATAAAATGGTAAGTGGATAAAAATTTGATAAAAGTAACTAGATTTGATAACAAATATAAATAAATAAATGTATATGTGTATATTGCAGAATGAAATTGTTCAAAAAGAATTTGTACACAAGAATTATATCATAAATGCACTCTTTAAATTTATATCTTTATTTCAATATCTTTTTTCTAAAACCATGAAAATTGATTTAGAAGATATTAGATTACTGTATACAGAATTAAGTTCTCTATGGAAAATTTATGAATTAAAAGAATTTAAAAATAAACAAATTTTGAAAAATGATATATTCAGAACACCACATATTGTTTTTAATATGAAAGGATATATGTCAAATGGAATTTGGAATTCTTTTTATAACAAAAATCTTGAAGGTATAGTTGTATTTTAGTTACGATTAATATGTTAATTTATCCAACGTTGTTTTTTAGAGATGTCAAAAATATATTGTATACGTTATACAAGCAAAGACCAGTTGTTATTATTCTTTGATATAATACAACAATTTCAACATATACAGTATTATAATGATTTAATAAAAATTATTGCAGAAGATATACTTCCTAACATGAACGCCTTTTTTGATTGTACACAATCAGAATATGTAAAAATATATAAAATGATTTCTATTCTTTATCAAGGTTTAAATCCAAAAATTCCTATTTTAGTAAGGACTGATAAATAAAGATATGAAATAGTAAATGAATAATTCAAAAATTGAGCATTGATACATTTATCATTTATGTTACTATAGAAACTAGAAAACACAAATATATTGGTATGATATACAGTGCATAATTTCTATGTAATTTACTATGATATGTAAGATATTTTTTGAATGTTAATAAAATAAATGTAAGGATTGATTTGCAAGTGATAATAATTATTGTTATCTTATTTAAAACTATATTTAAATAACATGTTTCAATGAGTTATTATAATAATAAGATAAATTTTATATATATATATATGTATATACCTTCGTAGTTTATTAAGTAGATTATATTTTATCTTGAAAATGAAAATTTAGAACATGAACAACAATATGCAATATACTTATACAAAAAAGAGATTACAATTTGGGAGACAATGTAATTTTACGAATTATTGCAAAGTAGAAGCTGATATTAAACCAAATGCAGGGTACACGAATCACTGTATTCAAATAGATCCTGTAACTCAAGGAACTCAATGTAGCAAGATATATTCTGTTCATGAGGTATAAATTCACGTTCAAAATTATATATGTATATATCATCATTATTATTATTATTTTTTTTCTAGGTAAATACAAATACTGCAACATTCCGAGATAGTGGTATATATCATTCTGAAGGTGGTTGGCCAAAAGATTTAAATGCGAAAGATTTAGAACAGACAGTGAGATATAAACGCAAAATAGAAAAAGATGAACTATATATTCATACAATGCTTCAATTGCTACCTGTAATAATATTTCAGCTTGTTTTTCACTTTTAATTTGTTTGTATTAATAGTTTACTATAAACAATTCTATCAATACATCAATTTTAATTATTTTTAGCCAATGGAGCAATGTATTTTACAAAACAATGCTTCTAATATTTATGAACAATATTTTAGTTACATGGAGCCAGTTTCTTTAATACAACGAGTATATTCACGTACAGTAAATGTATATCGTGATATTTTACCAATAAAAAGACAAATAACACATCTTTCTTGGTCACCAGATCAAGGAAATCGTTTTGCGGCTAGTTATTGTAATACTGACTTTAAAAATATAATAAATGACAATCCTCAGTCGTATATTTGGGATGTAGGTAAGATAAATCAGAAAATTTCAAAATATATGAAAAAAATTTATGATCCAAATTTATAGAAAATCCAAATATGCCTTGTATGATTTTAAAACCATTTTGTCCAATTTTAACATTGGAATATAATCCTAAAGATAGTAATATACTGATTAGTGGCTTAATGACTGGTCAAGTGGCTTGTTGGGATATTAGAAAAGGATCAGAACCAGTTGAAACAAGTTTAGTGAAATTTAGTCACAGAGATTTATGCAACGAGGTTTTGTGGATAAATTCTAAAACTGGCACAGAATTTTTCAGTGCTTCTAAAGATGGACAAGTATAACAAGATACAAAATGAACTGAAATGTAATATATAAATGTAACAAGTAAATTAATTACAGATAATGTGGTGGGATATTAGAAAATTACAAATGCCTACAGAAACATTAGTAATAGATTTATGTAAAACTGATGATCAAAATGTTAATAAAGCAATTGGAATTTCAGCATTACAATTTGAACCATCTATGGGTACACGTTTCATGTGTGGTCTTGAAAATGGTAAATAAAAATTTTATATTTATATATTTCTACTTATATTCTGACTAATTATTTTTAGGTATAGTAATATCAGGAAATCGTAAAGGGAAAACTGCGAGTGAGAAAATTGCAACACGATTCAAAGCGCAATATGGACCTGTAATAAGTTTAGAAAGAAACCCAACGTTTGTTAAAAATTTTTTAACAGTTGGTGATTGGACAACAAGAATATGGTCCGAAGATTGTAGAGAATCTTGCATTGCTTGGACTCCGTAATATTAACAGTTATTTAATTTACATAAAATATTAATACAAATTATTAAAATTCTATTCAATTCAGTGGTCATAGAGATTTTTTGATGGGTGGAGCATGGAGCATAACACGATTTTCCGTATTTTTTTTAATAAAAATGGATGGAACACTGGATGTATGGGACTTGTTGATACAGCAAGATTCTCCAGTTCTTAGTGTGAAAGTATGTTTAATTTGATATATTTATATTTAAAAATTAATATAACATATACTAGGTTTGTGACGAAGTATTAACATATATAAAACCACACGAACAAGGACAATTAGCAGCAATTACTAATAAAAAAGGGACAACATTTTTACTTGAGTTTTCAGACGCATTAACAACTAATCAAAAAAATGATAAACTTTTATTTACAGCAGTAAGTTTTATCGATATTGAAATGTTTGCAATTCTTTTATCATATGTAATTTTATTATATACGATTGAAATAATAGCTTCTTGATAGAGAAACACGCAGGGAAAAGGTAAAAGAAGCTAAAAACAGAGAACAGAAATTAAAAATGAAGTCCTTTCGAAATACCAATCTTGAAACTGAATATCCTACAGGAAATACAAAAAATTATGAGGATGATCCAAAATGTCTTAATTCTAATATTAATAATGCGATATTAATACATTGTGAAGAAGATTATGACAACACTATAAAAGCAGTAAGTAATATGAATACATATTTATATATAAGAATAAAACTCAATTTTTTATTTTAATTATACTTTACTAGGAATTACTAAAAGAAGAAGGAATAAGTAATGGAACAGCGTAAATATGTGATGAATAAAGTAATAAATAAATTTTTATTATATGCAAATAAATTGAATAAATTGTTACATTTATATATATTAAACTTACTTTATATGGTTTATATATTTTTAATTTAATTACAATTCTATTTTACAATAATACATAATCATTTGAAAAATTATTTTACGATAATTTTTTTTTATTCATATAATTTATTATAAATATTTATTGAAAATATAGTAGAGACATTAATATAATTGTGTAAAGTGTTTTTAAAAATCAAAATTAGATTTTATCATATTGATTATTGTACACTGTACATCTGTGTTACAACATAACTGAAGTTTCTGATAAATTTTAACACCTGCCGCGTGAAAGAATCATATATGTGCATATTTCTTTTTTAAATATTTATTTTTAAATAGTTTACACATTCAAATTTCATTCATAGTATGCATATTGTGTTGTAACATAATGAAAACAATTGATTGTAATTATAAAATTATTAAAATAGGTAAAATTATTTTCATAGAAATAATATAAAAAATATGAAATTGTACTTATATTGTATTTAAAAATCGAGTGCTTAAACAATTTAATGTATTTTATTAATCAATAATGACAATTTACACATCAACTGAATGAATCTTAAGAATCGTAGATGAAAATGAAGGTTAACATAACCTCTGGGAAATTGTACTTGGACAAACAATTAAGGAGAATAAAATAAAATATTATGTTTTTGAGTAAGAAGTAAGAAAAGAGAAGAAGTAGGATTAATTCGCATTATTGTATAATTTATTAATTGTAAAATCGAAGCGCAAAAATTCATAAAATGAAAGTTTTATTTGTTTTACAAATGAAGTACTTTCAAAAATATTTTACTTGCTTCACCCCACATTTTTGCGCAATACAATACGCTTATTGTGTTTACTTGATAGAAAACATTAGTAGAATGTAAGCTAAAATTTTTTCATGTATTTTTTTCAACCATTTCTTAAAGATAGAAAATCGCAATAATTTTAGAAACAAAAACCACGGTGGAAGAGATTTTATAATTATAAAGTTCTAACTGGACTTGCAAATTGAATGAAGGATAAAATCGATAACATGGAATTGCAAACTGTGTTAACGAAGAGAAAGAAGAAAAAACAGAATCAAAATGAAATGAATCTGCGATCACGTATAAACAAAGATAATTACGAAACTAATTTTCAAGATAACGATAATGAACGTTCGTTTTCCAATAACACAAATATCGCGAAAGATACGAAAGAATTTTTTCCAACATTCAATATAGATAATAAGTCCAAATTATTTGCTAATGCAGACTCCATGAATTCTTCGGAATTTACATCGATGGATGTTGTTGTCGACATTCATCAAGAATATGAAAAAGAGAAATCACACAGCGACGATATTGAACAAGATGAATCGTCGAATAAGAGAAACTCGTTTTTAACGGAATCCAGAAATGCGAAAGCATTTTCGAAAACGAACACTCACATTCACGAGAAAAAGATCGACAGATCGAAGATCAATTCGAAACATCAAAATTTCCCGAGAGATGACGATGACATAAAAGTCATAGATTCGTTGGATTTGATCGAAGAATTTCGAGAACCTCTGATCGAAGGAGAGGATGAAAAAAAGATTCAGTCAGCGACAACTAATAAATCAAGTAGAAAGAATATCAATCAATTGTTTGTCGAGGGAAAGTCACATGGCAGAAAACAATGGATCAAGTCAAAAGATGAAACAAGAGAGATAAAGAAACCAACGAGGAAAAGATGGTCGAAAGATAACACTGTAATTCGACTACCGGAGGCTAGAAGCAGTTCTTGGACGATTGTATCGCCAGAAAATGCATCTTCGAAGTTCGTTCATCAACGTCCAGGAAAACTCTCTTCGAAGAAGACGTTATCTGGCTTTGACAACGAGGCGTTCGACTTGGAAGAAATTCTCACGATCGAGACTGATTACGACCGAGACAATCCGAAAATTGAAATGAACGAAATGACTCACGGTGTAGAGGGACTGGAGCTTTTCATGCTCGATAATCGAAGTGTTCGAGATTCATTGAGCGATGAAAATAAATGTTTCAAGGAAACGGCGATTGAGGATTTCAATGAGTTTGCGAATGTGGACAGCAAAAGATCTGAAAGTCAAAGGAAAAATGCAATGTCGGACACTGAACGCGCTGACAACTTTAATCGTGATGATATGTCTTTGAAGGATAGAACAAATCGTGGATTAACAAACAAGAGAAAAAGTTTCGTAGAAAAGAATGATAAAAGTGTTTCTGATCATTCGAATAGTTCGCAAAGCTTGGAAGAAATCGCTGCACGATCAGACGATCATCTCTCTGAAGAGCTATCCAAGAAGGATGATCGATTTTTGGTGAAAAGTAATCGAAAGCATTTTATCGACAAGGAAAATCCAGCGTCTGCCTCTGAGGATGACAATCTCGATGAGGATCGTTTAATAAGACATTCTGCGCGATATTCGGCAACTACTTCCGAAGACGACGATTTCAACGAGACTTGTTCTAGAGGAATATACGATCACGCCAAGTTAGGGAGATCTGATACAAAGAGAAAGAAATCGAAATTTAGAACAGAACATCGGTCTCAAAAGAAGGGTAAAGAAAAGAGATTTAGTAAAATTGCTTTGGCGCACGCACCGAGTATTGACGTCGAGGAAGATTCCAAAAAAAAGAAAAGGCGAAAGAAGAAGAATAACGTGAAGTATATGTCCGTGACGATTCATAGAACAGATATGTTAGAGATCGACTACGTGACGAAACATCCGATGGTAAAGGTGCATATTGTGAAAGCTGAGAATGGAAAGTATTTGAAAAGTGAACACGGCGCGAGTACATATCTACAGCCAGTAATAACGGGGAAATTTGATTTCAAAGAAAATAAATCTATAATACCGGTATGGGAAGAAGAGCTCATCTTCGAGAATGACTTCAAAGAGATTCTTAAAATTGATAATGAACAGGTTGTAATTCTCTTTGAAATTGTCGATCTTCTGAGTTTCGCCGAAGCCAGCTTTAATTATGATAAATTTGGCAAGTTCTGTTTATTACACGAATACTTTAGAACAATTGAAGAACTCATAGCAAAAATATATTATATCTAATTATAAAGTATAATTATATGTATAATATGAATTATAATATTATTATAATAATAATTTATATAATTGGTCTGTTATAATTTATTATAATTTATATTATAATTTGTTTTTATATTAAATTGTTATAATTAATTGTTATAATTAATATATATAATTATTTTAATTATATATATTAATTTAATTATATATTAAATTATAACAATTTAATATAAAAAATTATAATATAAATTATAATAAATTATAACAGACCAGTTATATAAATTATTGTTATAATAATATTATAATTCATATTATATTATAGTTATATAATTATAATTTGTATTAAAATGTTATAATTTACTATCTCATATCATAATAATAATTAATATTTAATAAAAAATATTCAAGCATATTAAAAATATTCAAACATATTAAGCAATGATTTTAATTATATCTGTATTTAATTAAACTATGACAAGTTATTTTTATTGAATCGCATAATTTTTATTCGACTAATGAATATCATTATCTAAAATCTCCAAAAGTTTGATAAAGTTTGTTTTTGTTATGAGGCCCTCGATCAATTTTAATTTTAATTCTAATGATTAGAATTAATCATAGTTTGATTTTATTCACTGATAGGTCATGAAGCTTGCTGGTACAAAGTTGCATGGGCTTTTCTAAAGCCTGTAGGACGGAACCAAGTGTTGCATATTGACAAAAAGGTCAGATTACAATTGTACAGGCCTAGAAAAAATTCACATAAGTTTGATAGATTTCACACGTGCGAAGTAAGTATTTGATAAATAACATAATAAATGTAAACGTTATTTTCATTATAAATGAAAATTTTTTTATGTCATAAGTAACATGATTTTGTAGGATTTGTGATATGATGATATTAAATTTTGTCTACCTTTTTTCTTTCTAAATAAACAATACTTGTTTGATATTTTTATGAAAGTATTGATGTTATTTTATTTAGTTGATTTTGAAGTTAAATTTTTAGGTGTACACGTGGTGGAAGTCGAATGTCCGAGAGAAATATCCTAGTAGTCTATTTGTTACTGTAAAATCCATCGACCCGCCTAAATTGGAATCTGTTTTTTATCGGCAATTATCATTACGTGATATATCTAACATACACAATGAATCACAAAAGATATCCGCTCAAACTTCAGATTCTATAAACTTACCAAAATGGACTAGATTAGCTGCACAATCATGTAAAATACCAAATGAAATTTTCTTCGAAACGGACATTGGCGAAAATGGATGTTTTTATATTGCTTATAGCAACAATGGCAAATACTTGGCTTGTTGCTTCTCCGAAGAACACGATTACCCTATCATTGTCTACGAGGTGAATGTTACAGGATCTTTCACTTTTTTTAATATTAATATTCAAAAAATTTCGATGCAAATATCTTCGTAAGTAACGTCAAAGAAATAATCTTAAATATTAAAAGAATAACATCAATTTAAATATTAGATTGTTTCTTGTGACGTTACACTGTTTTCACATATTAAAAATCAGTTGAAAGGACTATGTAAGCTTTAGCAAAATATCATTTAATCCTTACACATTGTTTTCAATTTTACATTGTATCTTCTATTACATAATGATCCGGAAAATTATTGATAATTAATAAAAAAAATATTTTTTTTTGATAAGTTAAGAAAATATTTTGATCTTGAAAGGATTAATAACTATTTTGCCTAAAGAAAAGTGGGAAGATATTTTCGACGATTCATTTTATAACTTGTAAATTTAATGAAAAGTTCCTACAATCTTACACATATTAGTATTTTATTTCGTTGCAAGTATTAAACTTCTTTTAATAATTCGTTAGGTTGAAGCAAAGAAGATTCACGTACGGTTTTCAGGACACAAAACTTTCGTTTACTGCCTCAATTGGTCCAACAATGATAATTATTTGCTTTCTGTTTCATCAGATCAAACTGCCCGTATTTGGGATATACAGAATCAAATTGTAGAATATATAGAAGTAAGAACTTCAATTATTTATTTGAAAATTATACAAGTGATACATGAAAATATCAGACACATATGAATATAAGATTTAATTTAAATGCCATCTACTATTAATATTATTATTTATAATTATTTAATTACTTTATTATTATATTATATTATTATATTAATATATATCATGTTTTTTTCTGTGATCTTCATTTGTTTTAATCATTATAATATTGTTAATTGACATTAAATTGTGTTATTTAATAGATGATGCCTCATCCATCCTATGTGTACTGTGGTAAATTTGATCCCGAAAACTCTTCGATAATAGCAACTGGTTGTTACGATCGCATAGCGCGTATTTGGATGCGAGATAAAAAATTAAAAAATTGGGATCTTAATCAAGAACTGGAGGGTCATGAAGGTTTTGTAAATTCTATGTATTTTCAGAAGAATAGTAACTTATTAACAGCAGACAGCGTCGGGATAATAATAATATGGATGTTAAAAAAAAATCGAAAAATATTATCTAAGAAGGAGTGGCACATATCACGAAAAATAAAGGTCAGAGAAATCGACGGTATAATAATTAACACAATTATTTTGCATCCTTTGGAGTCTAGACTTCTTGTTCATTCAAGAGACAATGGATTAAAAATGTTGGATCTCGCAACTGGAGTAGTGTTGCAAAAGTACAATGAATTAAACAATCAGAGGTATTCTTTATCTTACAATTTTACGTTTCATGTTTCATTCTTGGTTAATTTATTTCAAATTTTTTAGATATTTTTAGAATCACTTTTAAATATTATTTTAGGAAATAATATTTTAAATTAATATTTAAATATTTTTTATAGAATACAGTCGACAGCTTGTATTTCTCCTTGCGGCAATTTAATCTTTTGTGGTGGTGAAGATTCATCTTTGAACGTTTGGAATTTAGAAACTGGGAATCTTCTCGCAAGATATACTTTTGATCGACATTATCGAGCAGTAACTTGCGTAGATTATCATCCGTATGATCACGTATTAGCCTTCTCGACTTTTGGTAGTCCTGCTTCGGTAAGAATTTTAAGATTTAACAAGGATGCTACGGGTGAAAATATAGGATTAAAAATGGTGGGAACGATCGAGAACGCAGTGAATAACAACGATATTTCCATGAGATTCTTAAACACATCCGTGTTTAAAGAAATGCCCAAAGAAAAATTGAGATTGAGTAATACGAAAAAAATAATCGAAGAGGCTTCGCAGTCTTGCAGAAGCTTGCAATCTAGTCAAAGTTACAACTCCAGTTTTCTTAAGCTTTCTGATAATGTTGTTTTAGAAAAAGATAAGTACAGTGATACAATGTGTAATGATACAAAGACGAAACTTCAACTATTAAATGAAACTGGACAAACAATGAAAAGTCGCAGTGCGAATCGTTTGTATAATATTATTGAAAAGATTGACAGAATTTTATCAAATACGTCAAAATCGTCGGGTGATATTGAGTCTGGAAGGAATTTTGTCCTTCTTCAGGAATCAAGTGAGAGTAAACTCTTAACAAGTTTAAATAAAAACATAGAAAAACAGAAGAAGAAACTGAGAAAAAATAAATCTACAAATTTAAGTATCGAAGATAAATCGAGTTCTTATATTGAGTCAAGCGCAACAAGTAGCGATAAACCGAAAGTTGTAGAATGTTACACGATACAAAATGAAAGACTAAATGATTGGAACATGAAAAAAAGATCAAAAAGTGCAAAGGAAATAAGAAGTAGTAACATATTTAAAGATGATATATCAAAAACTTTCTCTGATAGTGCTACAAATTATCAGAAGATTAAAGTACATGACGAAGTCACAACAATTTCATCGCAAGAAAATATCGAGCCAGATTTTACTATTAAAGAGAATGATAAAAAATTAATAACTTATCATAAGAATAGTCTTCTTAAGAAGGATAATTCAGATTCAACCGATAGCACTGGAACGTACATTGTAGAAAAAAATGACGTAAAAGATAATGATAAAGATTCGATGTGTGAAAGGAAAAATTTAGTTTTAAATAGTACAGAAAGTGAAGTGAATGTAAAATATTCCGAAAGTAATAGTTCTATACCTAGCAATGCGACTTTTATTATTGAGGATGAAATTTCTATATCAAAACCAAAGAGAAACAGTAAATCTAGTCTGAAATAACTTTTTTTTTTTTCTTGAGAATATAAATATAAAAATCTGATATTTATTTTCACTATTTAATTTACAGTACTTTACACCTGTACTTTACACCTGTTTTACCCTCTATGCTGTAAATTAAATAATAGGTAAATTAAATATTGTATATTACTACTAAGTTTATTTATAACTTTATACCTGTAATAGTGCTTTTTGCATAGCTTGTTAATAAATATCGTATTTAATATGTGTGTTATCATTTATGCAATGACATTTTTCTATTATATCTTTCTATTTGTACCATTTAATGTACATAATTTATATAATTTCTTTCAAAATTAATTTTACAATTATAATATTCAGTTATGATATCGAGACGAATTAAAAATTCTCTTCTGACACTTGAAATTATTATCGAATATTCCTATTATTTTATAATTTTTTAAAGAATTTTCTTTCAACATCAATACATTTATCTTGAAAATTTTTTAAAAATAAATAAAAAGAAGTTGTATAAAATTTTTAAAAAATAAATATATGAAAAGAAGTTGTATAAAAAATAACATATAAGAAACATAATTAATACTTTATATATTCATATACATGAAGTTGGTTTGACAGCTGATCATAGATGTCCACAAAAAATGTGTACATTAGCCAATGACTGATATTTTACATTTACTTTCGCGTAGCGCAATTAACGAATCTAAAAGTTGAAAATAAAATAAAATTTCTAATTATTTTTACTTCAAGCATGGGATCTTTTTTTGGAGGAATAGCTAAAGTCTCTGTGAAAATAATTATACTTCCTTTCCTTTATTTGACGTATTTATACGGTGTATATTTATCGAGTTTAATTAACATAGCACTTATAATTTATTTATTAATCATGTTTAAGTTAAGTGGTACATTCATAAGTATTGAAAACGAAGATGACGAAGAGGTAGGAAGTTTTTCTGCTTATTAATAATAAATAACAACATACAAAAAAAAAATACAACTTGAAATTTAAATTATTTTCAAATTTTTCTTTTAAATATATCATAGCGTATTCGATAATTTGTTCTACTAATAATTTGTACTAACATATGATTTTAATTTTCTATTAACTACTTTGTACTAACATGATTTTAATTTTCTACTTAAAATTGTATACAAAATAGCTCGATTGTTTACTATTAATAGTATCTACGGTCATAATAAGAAAATATCAAATTTCCATCAATTAATGATTACATTGTCAATTTCACAAGAAAATGAGAAGTTAAAAGGACTAATGGTTTATCCCTAGATTCATTGCACGCATGTACATAATTAAAAAGTGACACTCGCGAAAAAATCGAAAAATGGGCAGTATACTGACAACCCTGGCTACCATTGGCATCAGCATTATTTTTTATCCTTTCTTATTTCTTTGCTACGTTTACATTCTCTTCATTATGATTGTCTTTAACATTGTACATTCGTTCTATATTTTTCTCATACTGTTACTTAACAGTCTCTCAGATAGTAGAATTACTGATTAAGACTATTACGTGAGTTACTTATAATTTACAAATAGAAATATGACTTTCAATTATTCATGTATACGTGTATTGGACAAGATTTGCATTATTGCCTTGCTTTCAGGATTTTGAAGATGCCGAATCTAATATCGAAACTGAAGATACAATGCAATCGCAAAGCACGTGAAAACTGATACGATTACTTCCGGTTATATGAAAAGAATTATAAAAATTATACGATTTTATTCGTACATACTCGTTATTCGTTAAAATAAGAAATAAAATATTCTTCGCAAAATAAAGAGCTTATTTTGAATATGAATAAAAATATTTTTGTTAATGTTCAACTCTCGTACCAATTAACAATTGATCACACATGTATATCAAAAAATATATATTGAGATATGTTGAAAGACTACATATGTACGACTTACTTGTGTACTAATTTTCATATCTGTTTCAAAAAATATATAAAATATAAATAAAATAATATATAACTTTTATATATTATATATTTTGCTTTACAGGATAATAAACTGCTAATAATAAAGATATCTACAGATATCGGTAGTATATTGCTCTCATAATTTTAATCTGGAAATAATTAATTAATTAATTAATTTAAACAAAATGAAGTTAATTTAAATTCGCAATTAATGTTCGTATATGTTTGCATGTATGTATACAGATTTTTAGAGGCAGGCGCAAAAGTTAGTTCGAAGGATGCCGGTATGAAAATCGTGTGGCGTTACAGAACAAAAACATGGTAGAGACGTGCTTGAGTTTATCGTGTGCATTTCAATTCAATCACAGCTAAGAGTGTTAATCATTCTAATTATGTGAAAGTAAATTAGTCAGATATACAATATTTTTGACTTTAAGGTTTAGTAAAACAGGCTCTTCCTCGGCAAGAAGCCTCTTTGCTGCAATGGTAACAGTAACGAAGTTGATGCTTATCGCAGTTATTTACGGTAAATTTATTCATCTCAATTGACTATTTGTAAAAGACATCTTGATAAATACAGTTTGATAAATGTGAAACTAATATTAAGTAAATTGTTTCATAACCTTCAAATGCTGCCGATCGATAACTTGCTGAAGTAGTTTAGCACTAAAACGCTTTAATTTGATTTTTGTTCATTGATTTAATTTATTTAACTTTAAAATAACGGCTATTTTAATCGATGTTTTATTTCAAGTAACAAACTGCATGTGTATTCGACTCAATTCATAAAAATTGATTACATTGAAATTTTGGTATATAATATTTTTTTAAAGATTCGAAAATTTATCTTCTTTTCATTTGCGTTTAAATAATTACATTTAATTTATATACATATGTTGCTTAAGTTAAATTTACTTGTTTTACGTCACTATTTTTAAGTATAATTAGTATTATTGAAACATAATTCAGCTTTTTCAGGTGTTTTTACTCCTGTAATAGCATCACGTGTACTTGAATTAAGTGACAGGTACATAATGATTTTTTATATTTTATAATCATAAATATATGATATTTATATGCATAAAATTTTATATATTATTATCTAATTTCCTTTATAGATTTTTGGATATTCATAAAGATGGACAGTGGCTTGTTATGGTATAAATATGAAATACATGATATATTTATATTTCTATATGAAATTATTGCTTATAAACATTGTTTCTTTTAAAGATGTATGCACCATGGTGCGCACATTGCAAAAGATTAGAACCAATTTGGGCTCATGTAGCACAACATTTACATGCGACATCGATAAGAGTTGGAAGAGTTGATTGTACTAGATTTACAAGTGTTGCTCATGCTTTTAAAGTTAAAGGATTCCCAACTATTGTATTGTAAGAAAAGAAATTAAATTTATTTTTATCATATATATATAAAATTAGTATAATATTATTTCTCTTTTCCTATATAGTTTAAAAGGTGAGCAAGAATTTATATACCATGGGGATAGAACAAGAGATGAAATAATAAAATTTGCATTAAGAGTGAGTGGTCCGCCTGTTCAAGAAATAACAAAAACTCAAAGTTTTGACACGATTAAAAAGGAACGTGATCTGTACTTTTTATATGTTGGAGAACGATCTGGACCATTATGGGTAAGATAAAAATTTTGTTATATTTACAACTTAATTGAAATATTTATAATAAAGATCCTAATTTAAACAAATATATTTTAGGAATTTTATCAAAAGACTGCAGATGTGTTCCAGCCACATGCATTTTTCTATCAATCTCATCCAACTGTTGTTAGTAAACATGCTCCTGTGGAAAATATTCCAGCATTATTTGTGTATAAGGAAAATTTACATTATAATTTTAGTGGTAAATATTTGTAAAATATTTACCCATAAAGTATAGTTTTTGCAATTATTATTGTATATTAATAACATTTTTAATAAGAATTTTATAACATAGGACATGAAGTAGATAATATAGAAAAATTAAATGAGACAATGTATAAATGGATAAATGCAGAACGTTTTCCTACATTCCCAAAAGTAACAAGAGGAAATATAAATCAACTTTTTTTAACAAATAAAAATTTGGTATTGGCAGTAGTAGAAGAAAATCAACTAGAAGAAATACCACCACACATGACGCGATTCAAAGATATGGTTGAATCTATAATTAAAAGCAAACGAGAAAAATATCACGAGTAAGTTACATTTTGTAAATTAGTGTATTATTTATTTTATTAAAAGTTTGATTGTAATTAAAGTCTTCGCGTTCAGTCATTTTCAGTTTGGTTGGATAGCTAGTCCAGATCTAGTCAATAGTATAGCAATGATGGTTTTGCCATTACCAAGTTTAATTGTTATTAATACTACAACAAATCATCATCATATTCCAGAAGATGAAACAGAAAAACTGACTCCTCATGTGATAGAGTTGTTCCTAGAGCAAATTCGAAATGAAAGTGCTCCGGTGTGTTCTTTTTCAAATAGATTTAAGATATTTTATGTGATTAGAAGAAATTAATATTGTAGGATATATTTGCAGCGATATGGTGGAAACAATTGGTTGATACGTATATATAGATCGTGGTTTGAATTAAAAACAACCCTTTCCGCAATGTGGATGGGTAATCCCATTTTAACAATGGTTTTGTTTGGTTTACCAGCAGGATTCTTGTCATTAATATGTTATGGTATTTGTTGTCCAGATATTTTAGATGCAGATGACGATGAAGAAGGTACATATTTACATTTTTTTTGCAAAATTAATATGTATTCTATATACTATTATTATAGTTATTGTATATACTATTAATAACGTATATGTTATTAACTTTTTAATGCTAATTGATTTTCCAGACCATCCAGGAGCAAATCATATGAAAAAAGATTGAAATTGGATTATTATATTGTTTATATTAAACAGTTTTGTAAAATTGTAAATCTGTGATTCTTAATTTCATTTAGGTAATATTTATTAATCTTTTATTTTAAAAGACTTTAATTTTGATAATTAATATTTTATTTATTATTCATTGATGTAAGAAAGTAATATGAATTATGGAAGTGATTATTTTTGTAGTCAGTAAAGTGAAAGAAATTTTATGAATTATGAGTAGGATGATAAAGATAAATTACCTTAGCTAAATGGAACTTTCATAAGACAATACAAATCATGTAAGTAAACGAGCTTTTTTAAATCACATAAAAGAATTTGTCTCATATTACATAATATAATTGAAGTATGAAAATGTACTAAGTTTTATGTGAAGAATGTATGTGGTAAATAATGTTCTGTATACTTATATTTGAAGTTACAAATGTATGTTAATTTGTATAAATATAGTGAAAAGTACCTCATATCAATGTTTATGTAAAGTTTGAATATTTAACTTAAAACATGATAACTGTTTTAGTGTATATATTTATCTACATTTAATAAAAAAAAGTAATACTACTTAAATATTTTTTTTAGATAAACATAAATTAAGTTAATTAAATAAAAGAATATTGACGGCAAGGGACATTGTAAAAATTTGAAAATAAAATATGAATTAAAATAAATCGTGATACTTGACTTCCGTTTTTTATTTCAATATATCATAAAAAATAAAAACGTATGACTAATTAAGCGTACAGTTGTATTGTAATGTAAATTCCTGTTCAAAAATTAAACAAACATCGTATTGCTGATTCCTGTTATATAGCCACATATAAACATATATATATGCTATAAATCATCATCGTCAGAATCCAATGCTGCTCTTCGTCTGTCAAACTGAAATTAATTACTAGTAATCTAGTTTCTTGAAAATGTATAGATATGTTATTATCATAACTAACCTTCACAACAGTTTTTCGTTGTGTTCGTTGATTTACACTTTCAAGCAAACTGATAAGTTCTTTTTCTCCTAATTTTCCAGGTATCTGTCCTTGTTGAGCCATGGTTAATATCATATCTTCTACCATCTTTCCTTTCTCAGGTTTACCAAGACTTAATGTGTTTACTAAAAAAACATTAAAAGTACATATATTATATATACGTCATAAATTATACAGTATACATTGGGACAATATGTGTATAATTCAATTATATTTATACTCTTACGTCTCGCTCTAGCTGATTGATCCAACACTTGGGTAAGAATGAAATTCCTCATCTCCTCTGTTCTTTGCATTTTTTCTTCCATTGTTTGTTTATTCTCTGCATTGTCAGTCTGAATATTTACAAATGATTGTAGTAATGATAGGAAAATGAATGCTGTGCTTATTTAAAAAGTGTCGGTATATGTATTACCTATGCAGTTATAAATAGCTTGTTGAGTAAATTTCAATTCAATAAAATAACTTTATTATCACGAAATTGAAAATGATATATTGTTATGATTAATTTTATTTTTTTATTAATGATTTTTT